GGGAAGGAGGAGAAGGATGGAGGAGAGGAAGAGGAAAGGGGAAAGGAAAGGAAAAAAGGGGAGGGGAAGGAGGAGAAGGATGGAGGAGAGGAAGGGGAAAGGGGAAGGGAAAGGGAAGAAGAAAGGGGAAGGGGAAAGAAGGATGGAGGAGAGCAGAGGGGGGAGAGGAGAAAGAAGGGAAAGGGAAAAGGAAAAGAACGGAAAAGGAAAAGGAAGAAAAAGGGAAAGGAAAAGGGAAAGGAAAAGAAAGGAAAGGGAAAGGGAAAAGGAAAGAAAGGAAAAGGAAAGGGAAAGGAAAAGAAAGGAAAGGAAAAGGAAAAGAAAGGAAAGGAAAAGGAAAAGAAAGGAAAGGGAAGGAAAGGAAAGGAAAAGGAAAAGGAAGGGAAAGGGAAGGGAAAATAAAGGAAAAGGAAAAGGAAGGGAGAGGGAAGGGAAAATAAAGGAAAAGGAAAAGGAAGGGAGAGGGAAGGGAAAATAAAGGAAAAGGAAAAGGAAGGGAGAGGGAAGGGAAAATAAAGGAAAAGGAAAAGGAAGGGAGAGGGAAGGGAAAATAAAGGAAAAGGAAAAGGAAGGGAGAGGGAAGGGAAAATAAAGGAAAAGGAAAAGGAAGGGAGAGGGAAGGGAAAATAAAGGAAAAGGAAAAGGAAGGGAGAGGGAAGGGAAAATAAAGGAAAAGGAAAGGGAAAAGGAAAGGGAAGGGAAAAGAAAGGAAAAGGAAAGGAAAAGAAAGAAAAGGGAAAGGAAAGGAAAAGAAAGGAAAGGAAAAGAAAGGAAAAAAAAGGAAAAGAAAGGAAAGGGAAAGGAAAGGAAAAGGAAAAGAAGGGAAAAGAAAAGGAAAGGAAAAGGAAAGGAAGAGGAAAAGAAAGGAAAAGAAAGGAAAAGGAAGGTGGCTGGTGGGTGCTGCAGGGACCTTCTCTCCTCTCCTTACCCTTTTTCCATCCTCTCCTTTTCCGTGCTGGGGATTTTCCTCCCCTGGGGTGCCAGGGCTGGGGCCGAGGGCAGGGTGGGGGGGACAAGGGCCACGACGACACATGGTGCCCTTGGCATTGACCCTCCCCGATGTCCCCAGCACCGCCTACACCGCCGAAGCCACCGACTACGACGTGCGGGTGCTCCTGCGGTTTCCCCAGCGGGTGAAGAACCAGGGCACGGCCGACTTTCTGCCCAGCCGGCCCCGGCACAGCTGGGAGTGGCACAGCTGCCACCAGTGAGTGTCCCCACCTTCCCCCGTCAACCCCCCCTTTTCCTGGCACTTTTAAGGCTTTTTTTCTTTTTTCCCGTGGGCGGGGGGAGGCTTTGCTTTGGGGTCATCGCCACGCTTCACGCCTATGTCCCTGAAGCCACCACTCTTGGGCGATTCGTGTCCCCAAGGAGGGAGCTGGCAAGCTGGTGGAGGTCCAGGGTTGATGGGGAACCCCCAAAATCACATCTGGGGCAGCATTTGGGGTGGGAGGGGGTCACACCGACTCTTACAAGTCTTACGAGGAGCGGCTGAGGGAACTGGGGTTGTTCAGTCTGGAGAAGAGGAGGCTGAGGGGAGCCCTCATCACTCTCTACAGCCACCTGAAAGGGGGTTGTGGGGAGGGGGGGGTTGGTCTCTTTTCCCCAGTAACCAG